GGGTCCTTATATGCTAGCCAGGAAAATAAAGGGAGAAAGACATATCTTTCTCCTCCAGTTTTGGTCAGGGTGTTTATGAGGCCATTAAATGGGTAGCAGAGTTTGGAGTGGAGAGGAATCCCATAAAGTCAGTCTTTGAAGAAAGAAGAGGCATAGCTTGGTGTCAGTGACTGTGTAAAACAGAACTTGGACTGTTGGTACAAGTGCTTTTTGATAACTCTTCAAACTCAAATATAATCGTCGGCAAAGGACTTTATATCCCTCATAGCTACTTGTAGGCTGATGCTTTTAAATGGGTTGTAAAGGAAGGAAGGGAATGAGAGAAGAGAGTCATGAATAAATAAGTCACTGAATTTGAAATTATCTTAGAAGTAGGCTTGTAGTGTTTCATGGAAAGTAATCAACAAAGGAATGCCTTGTTAAAATGTTATCTCTTCTATTCAGTGTTATTTGAAATGAAGAGATATGGGAGATAGCATCGACACAAGTCACAACCTAGATTTAAAATCTGGCTCTGTGTGATGTTAAATCATCCAAAAGATTTAGCCTCCAACTCCTCATCAATAAAAGTAGGCAATGTTAGGGTGGCACCTTAGGTGGGAAAGGCCAATAAAACCATTTCCCAAGAGGATCACGGTGACATTCATTATTTTGATAAATGTATTATAGATGGCACCTAGCTTTCCATTAAAGAGAATTAAGAACTTCATTCATCCATACATGGAGTGCAAAACCATTTCCCAGATACAGGCCTATATCGGACAAGCTAGAAAGGCAGATAGATAAGTCCAAGTGCTAACTTATCAAATGAGAACTTATTTAGGGTATTCAAGTCATTAATACATTTTCTTCAGTGTGCAGCTATGTTAGCGGGATACGATCATAACTAAAAGATTGCTTGGACTGCCTCTTGCATGTAGTGATGGGCCAATGACTGGAAACTGAAAGTGTTTGGGGAAAGGATGTCCTGAACAAACTCTATAGGTTTTGTGGACTCCACCCCATCAGAACTACAAATCCCCTCAACACCAAAGAGAAACACGTGGGGACCGGAGGGTGGAGTTAAGCAGCCAGGTTGGGATATAAAACCAAACTTGTGGGCTTCGGGGGTCTCTTGAACTCATGGCTTGCAGCTGGTCTCTTGGCTGTTCTCTGGCTTTCAGCATGCTATTGGGGTTCCAGGCCAGCTGAATTGGTAGGATGCATTAATCACTCTCTTCCCCTGAGTTATTCATTTCCCTTTTCCCTTGGAAACAAACCTTTTTGTGTGTGCCTGCAGCTGGATCTTAAGCACACAGGTGAGGACCCACAGTCAAGGAGCCCAGTTCACATAGGAGTGCTATGTAACAAAAACACTTGACTGGTGTCAGTCAATTTGTCTCCATGTCCCATTATACACACATGTCTCAGGGGACATCTTATTTTCCACAGTTGTAATATCCCTGGGACAGACCTTCCTCAGGCCTTAAAATATGAACAAAGAACAACACCACTGCAGTAGCCTTCCTGACAACTTCCAGGGTTTCTCTGATCCCCCAGATCTAGGTTAGATGGCTCAACTCCCCATGCCCACAGCCCAAGATTTCAACAAGTGCTTCAGGGCAGTATGTTCTTGTGGCCTCCTCCTGCACTTGTTTCCTTGTGATCTAGTGTAGGTCAGGCAGAAGGACAACACAGCTGCTTTTGCTGATTTCCATAAAAATGAAAAGCAAAGAAACCCCACTCTCAGAAGACATTAATGAGTAGGCTTGACTACACAACTGAGGAGGCAGGAAGGGATGTTCTCAGGAAGAATTAATTTATGGGCTACAACAAGCTATTGAAAACCCTTATCAGGGTCCTCCCTGGTGGCACAATGGTTAGGACGCAGCACTGCAAGTTGGCTGCAGCCGCTTCCGTGCAAGTTC